CTATTGTAGACTTGTTCAAATAATCTGTTGCTGACCATCCTCTACTGAAAAATGCCAGGGTAGCGCATGTCATTTTCCCCAGTGTGAATAATCTCTTCCTTTTGAATATGAAATTTGCTTCATGAGCTGAAGCATAGTAAAAAGAAATGTCATTCCATGTTCCCAGAGGTGATTTTCAGGCTTCTTTTTTGTCACCTTGCAGCCTTAAAATCATCTTTGCTCTCATCCATAACAAGATGAGAAAAGGCAAAGATTCTTACTCTGCGATGCAGGGACAGGGATCCTCTTTTTTTGTACATGTTTGTACTGGAGACAACTTCACTTGCACAGCTCTCAGTGTCAGGGCATATATTAATTTCAAGTGCTGATACTCCAAGAAGAAAAATATTCAGGATCTGCAAACTACTTGCTCCTAGTGCTGCTTTTGCCATATTTTTCTGTTTTGAATCATCATTATATGGAAATGGAGAAATCTGGGGAGAAAATTCTTGCCGTTAATATGCTTAGCATTTCTGGCTTTATTGAACTAGATTCCCCATGCCAAATTGCTAGTTAGTTCAAAGGACTATAATCAGTTTGAAACATTGATTCAGGTATTGCATTTGCAGTCTTTGCAGTTCCTCTCAGTGAAGATAGGGGTAGGATGAGCTCTTTTGACTGTTTTTCTCCAGGACTGTTTTTACATGTTCTAGATGAAAGTCTTTCGTAAGCAGATGGTACATTTTATATGGTAGGAATCAGCTTGACAAATTGCTGATTAATGCAATGCAGAGGGTAGAAACTTGAAAAAAAAAAAGTACTCTTTACAGTTTCTTACAGAGGTCTTACATGCTACTTGTAAAAAAAGGACAAGTACTTCAAACAGCAACATGGTTAATAATTATTACCATAAAGAAAAATTAAAATTAAAATGTCATGTATAATGTAACTGCATTTTTTTACTGATGGCAGAATTAGGCCTAGAAACATTTTTAAACTTTACAGATTTAAACCTATATCGTCTAAATCCACCCAAGAGGAAATATCCCCACTAGCACTCCAGAACTTGGGCTGTCATAAGATAGGTCTTTTTACAGAAATTAAATTTTTGTTTATTTTGCTTGTTACAAGTTGTACTGAAACCAGAAAGTCAATGTTTGCTTTTCCCCAAGCCACAACCAATGCATGCGTTTGCTCTTTATTCAACTGTTGCATAAACTTTGTAAAGCCAGAATTATTTTTTAAATTTCTGGGCGCTCTGTCTAGAGATAAATTAATCAGTGTCAGCTACACTTCTTTCTGCATTTCCTCAACTATAAATCAGATGTGGTGCTATGAAGATACCTACAAACAGCAAACCTTAGACTTGAAGTGTCCAGGGAAGTAGATCAACATTTCAGTTCTGTTTTTACCCAGAAACTTGTCATGAATATGTCCTGTTGGACTGGACTAGGCTCAGGAGGCCCAGGGTTAGCTTCATCCCCTGACTCTGCAGGGCTACATCATCACACATCTGTAATCTATAACCATGCTGGTGGCTGGGTGGCCTCCTCAGGAGGCCCATTGGCGTGGATGCAGCTAGCCAGGGTAAGAACAGCAAAGGCCAAAGGCACAGAATGGGGATGTGAGAAACAGCTTGGAGATCAAGGTTATGGTGGCATCTGCTTCTACCATTTGCTAAAGGTACTGTTACACCAAGTTGACTAGACTGAAACTAGCTCACCTGCCTTCAAGTGCTACCACTCACCTTCTGAGGTAAACTGCAGATGTTACAGTAATCTTAAACCATGTATAACTCTAATTTGTCTACAATGTTCTCACAAGTATTTGGATCAAAGCATATAGATGTGTGACTGTGGACAATTGGTGAGGTACAGAGATAATGATTTTAATGATTGTTGATGTAAGTGCCTGATAGCTATGATAACTGATGAAGTAAAAGAGCTAGATATTTTATTAAATGCAATGTAATAGACCTGTGGAGTTTGGAGCCACAGACATTTGGCCCTATAATGTTTAATCCAGGTAACTCCTGTGGAAAGTGGTTCAAGCACTGCTTCCAAATTCATCTCTCAGCATTCAGGCTCAGCCCTGAAGAAATGTTTTTATGACTTGCTAAGGGTGAAATGCTCAATATCAGCAGTGAGCAACCAAACAAATGCCTTTAAAAGGTCTCCTTTGGAAGCAGCTTAGGGACTCAAGCCCAATGAAGATTTATTTGAAGTGTGTTCCTTAATGATTTTTGTGGATGCTGTTTACTTTGACTCCAGCAAGAATGGAAGGATTCCCAATTAAGAAGGCATTTTCCAAGCAAAACAAAGAGGACACAAGCGCTTATGGAAATAATGTTTGTTTGGCAGACATGAATGTTGCAGCTGGGCTGTATTGTTCAGAAAATCTTGGTTTTCTATTTTAGAAACTACAGTTTATGTAGTTAATGTGAAACTTAATGTTTCACATCAAACCCATGCCATTCAAGTATTGAATGGTTGTCCAGTATCATTCATAGCACAGACGTAACACTCACTGCAACATTAAGCATTTAAAGATAATTGGGGTTTTTTTGTTGTTGAGCACATTGAGCAGGAAGAAAAATGGAATAGATCCATATGTTGTTACTTACAAACTGGAAAACTGGAATAGGGTAAAAAGAATAAATGAAGGTCTGAACTTGACTGAATGTGCTTTTGGCCTCTATTTGACCTTTGATAAAAAATTGCAAAGGATGCTCTGTTGTTTCTGTAGTCCTGTCCTGGGTTCAGCAGTAGCAGTCATGTTTCTCCTCCTTGGTAGCTGGTGCAGTGCAGTGTTTTGACTTTCGGCTCGGGAACAGAGCTGATAGAGATGTTTTGGTTTGGCCAAGGACTTTGCGAGCCTCATGCTCTGCCAGGGAGGAGGGGAAGCTGGGAGGAAGCAGAGACAGGACACCTGACCCAAACTGACCAAAGAGGTATTCCATACCACAGCACGTCATGCCCGGGATGTAACTGGGAGTTAGCCGGAAGGGCTGGGAGACTGCAGGGTTGGAGGAGGTATCGGTCGGAGCTTGGTCGGGCTTGGGGGGCGAGTTATCGGTCAGCGGGTGGTGAGGTGATGTATTCTCTTCCCTTGTTATTTCCTTTATCATTATTATCATTGGTGGTAGCAGTAGTGATTTGTGTTATACCTTAGTTACTAAACTGTTCTTATCTCAACCCGTGGGAGTTGCATTCTTTTGATTCTCCTCTCCGTCCCTCCGAGAGCAGGGGGAGGGCAAGAAAGGGGGGGAAGTGAGCGAACGAATTACCTGACTGGGTTTAAACCACGACAAGTCCATAGCAGTTTTATAGAATATTCTATGCACACACTTCTCTGTGGTTACTTTATTGCACACTGCAATGGTCCTTGCAGAAGCGCAGAATCCCTGCAGGGGTTCTGGCATAAAAACTAATTTGAATTTTTGACATTGGAGACACTAATTGTTACTTAGAATCACTTCTAAGTTGTCTTAGGTATGGATGTAAGTGAGGAATCCCAGAAAGTGATTTTTGCTCCGCTGCCAAAACAAACACACCAAGCCAGTGGTAAATAAATGAGATAATTATAATTATCAGTTTCATTGAGTGATTTAGCTCAGTCTGCTGAGAACTCTTCTGCAACAGAAGGATATCCATTACGTAGGAATTAATGCCATTACATGAGATGAATTCTGCCATCTAAAACAATTGCAAAAGAAGTTTCTCAGACCAGAAAGGGGAGCAGCTGCCACAGAGGCTGGATTTCTGAAACACTGTGTACAGAGAGGTAGTCCTTTTGGAAAATATGAATTTCCTTTTTCTCTATACTCATTACATCACCCAACCTGCAAAGGCATCTGCTTGCCAGATGCTGAAGAGTATTTGCTAGAGTACTGTTTATCTGCTAGTGAAAGTGTCACTTTATACTAAAGAGAAAGACATGGACAGAGCTGTCTGAGAATATAACCAAGGGTTAAAAGGTGTCAAACAGAAACACAAAATGTAGATCTTTACATGAGGTTAATTTCACCCACAAATTTCCCAAAGCAAAATGTTTTGGGGATGATGAAAAGAAGAAATCTAAAATTAGGGGTCTTGGGGGCGTCTCAGAATTTAGTCCAAGTTATGACTAGCTGGTGCCTCAGATTGGCTATTCCAACAGCTACAGGGGAAGGCTGGCAACACAAGAACTTGGTGCTGACAGGGGTGGAAAGGGTCAGGGAGGCTTCTGGTGTAGTTTAAACAGAGCTTCAAATCTGATTATCAAAACTTCCTGGCAAATACTTCAAAGGAAGATTTTTCCATATATAAGGCTTGAGGGTTTTTCTGGTGTTCTCTGCTGGCTAATTTAACTTAGGTGGTGCAGTGTAAGATGCCTTTCACTCTACTGTGACTGACTCAGTAATGTCAGTAACACCATTTGCTACAGCGTGGCGTTTGTGAATAAAACTGTGGCTTCATCCTTTCAATTTTATTTTTAGACATTTTATTTTTGGATTCAGGGCTCTGCCGTACATTCCTGTGAAATTACAGGAGCTACAGCCACGGGTGCTCATTTTCGTGGAGAAAACCACTGAGGGGGAAAAAAAGGGCAAATAAAGAAAAGCCTCTGTTATATCCAGCGATCAGAGGAGGGTTTGTGTGTCAGAAAGTCTCTCTACTTTTCTAACTTTCCCCAGCTTGCCCCGGCTAGCGGCAGCCTCTACCTCCGGCCATGAGCTGCCCCCAACCCTGCCCGCTCCAGGCTGCTTTCCCTGGAAAACGGGGCAGGAGGGGGGCACAGGCACCGCGAAGCGCGGATTCAGCAGAAGCCTCTCTCTGTCCCGAGCCCTTTTATTTGGCTCTGCCCCGGGTCCTCCCCGACCAGGAGGGGAGGAAACCGCCCGCCCCCCACGGGGCCGCCAAGGGAAGGAACATCTGGGCAGTCGCGGCGCATCCCCTGGATGGAGCAGCTGGAGGGTCCCGCGGCCTCCAGAGCCTGGCTGGGGCAGCTGGAGGAACCCGGGCCGGCTGCGAAACCCCTTGGACGGGGCGAGGAAAGGCGAAGGAAGAGGCTGCGAGGTAAGGGCAGCCCGAGTCTCCTCAGCCCCGGGAGAGCGGCGGGAAGGGATGGAGGTCTACCCCGCGCAGGCTGCTCCTCCGCGCAGTGCGGGCAGAGCGGTCTGAAGGCAGGGAGGGCGGCGGCTATAGGGGTGGGGGTGTTTCATATTCCCTTGTGAAAGGACAACTGCTGCTCCATGTTTGCCTTAGGTCTGTCCATGAGGGGCACTCCTGAGGTAAAAAGCCCTGAAGCGACTTTTAAATCCGAAGTATCTTCGGCGGAGGTTGCTGGTGTTAAAATACATCTGGAGCCCTGGAGTATTTTACCCTATGTACGACAGTTTTTGCAGCAGTGGTTCAGGGTGGTTAAACAAAGGGGGAATTAAGTGTTAGGGGTGTGAGTAAACATTTGGTTTAGTTTTGAGTTTCTTGTGTGATTTGTTTTTTTTAATTCCCTCCCTCCTCCTTGGGTTACTCAAATGGAAATGTACATCCAAACTTGAATCTCCAGGCAAAATCAAGAGAATTTAAATGTAGCCATAAGAATATTTAATGTATGAGAGAAACCTTCAAATTAGATTATCTCAGCTTCTCTATTCTATTTCAAAACAGAGTATCCCTTGGAAAAACACTTTCAGTCCCTGGATATGTTCAGATTTGTTTCATTTTTTCTTCTCTCCTAATAACACTTATTACTTAACACAGTATCAAATATTTAATTTTTCTGATATTTCAGAGCTTAGGAACTGAAGTGCTTAAAACCAAAATATTTATGCTTCTTAATTTTTAAAATGAATATTTGATAATAACTATGCAATTACCTACCTAGAACTTGTGATTTCTCCAGTATGTATAACTTTGTTTGCATCACCTTACATTACTGTTTCTGTAGACCTCTTTAAATTATGGTATATATCATACTGTAAGTCACCAGTAATTTGCACTTTGTAATTTGTTTAAGGAATGTATTCTATATCCATTTTAGATGAAAATTCATCACTGCCTCTGGGATTACCTTGCTGAAGTTTGCTCAGATGTCTTTTCTGCTTTTCTGGGTTGCTTACATGGGCTTTTCCTGTATGCTTCTCTTTAGAAATGGAGCTGGGTAAACCAGACTGATTTTTCTCAGTTGTGGAGAGTGTGGTTAGAAATAACTGCTTGGAAAGGAAAGTCAAATGAACCTAATGAGTGGCTTCAATAATCATGCCTGTGTTTAGGCAAACTGCTCCCTGCTTACTCTTTTCTTGCAAACCAAGCCTGCCTGGAAGCATCATTTTACTCAGTACTGCAGGTGGCCAGTAGAGCAGCACAAAAAATGGGCCCCCTTGTTTCCGTCTGAAGACGTACATGAATCAAGCATCAAAACTCTTGTCAACTGGCTCCTACTCTATTTGTTAGATGTGTCCAAACACGCTCATGCTCACTTGCAATTGGCAGCAGTAGTCATTTTGGTTGTCTCTTCCTAGCTATGAGCAAGGCAGGTTCCTAAACCCATAGATTATAAAGAATTAAACATTGTTTTTGCAATATCTTAGTTTTCAGTAGGGTGGCACTCTACTGTGGCACTCCTGTCTTATTGCGTGGCACGAGCCAGACCTTCAGTTCTGGCACTGTCTTTTGCCCCAGAAGATAAGAAGGAGACTTAAGTCCCTCCTAATCAATTTCTGCCTAAATTAGGGCCTGCTGTAACATTTCAGTTCTATCTGAGCAAAATTCTAAAACTCTTGCTCCACATAACCTAGCACTTGAGGCATTTCTAAGGTACAGAGGGTAGCATCTGTAAGACCAGTGGTTTTGGAAGAGGATACAGCCCCCTGTGCAGCTGCTACTCTGATTGAATTACAAAGCTCCAGCTCCATAGCATTGTTCTTGGTCCCTCTATTAATTCTGTTGTCTGAGGGGAAGCAGGAGCTGAAGCCTCTGCTACTGTAGCCTTGCATTAAGAGGACTCTTCAGTTTCTGCTAATGTTGCATTAGCACAAACTGATTCCCATTTAGTGAGTATGAGGTAGTCCTGTAAAGAGGAACTATACCTCTTTCCCTGATGCCTTTTGATTTTTCTAGATGGGCTAACTCACAGCTATTACCAACATTTCAGACTGTTTTGCCAGTGTCCCCATTTATTCATTAGTGTTTCTCTTTCTTTTCTGATCCACACAGCTTTCTGCTGTTGAGAGTGTGTTTCCCCCAAGCAATAGTTGATAGGATGCAGTGCATTCAGTTACCTGGATGCAAGCAGTATATCAAACACCCTGATCTCAGCAGGGTCAAAGACAAGTAAGCCAAGGCAAAGCTCAAGGTTCAAATCCCACCTGCTCTGTTGCATAGCTTTATGGAAATTACTGACAGGAAAGCTTTTAATTTTTTTTTTTTCATATCACAACATAATGTTGCAAGCCTCAAGCACTCACATCATTTGCTACAGCATCCAAATCTGGGAGATTTATTTTGAATCACTTTGTTTTCTATATAAAAGCCCTGAAGACATACACTACCTAACGGTACACCACAGCCAGACTGGATGGCTGAAGTTTACAAACCATTTAATCAAATAACTTCAGAAAGCACAGGTTTAAGAAAAGTGGCTGGACCTCAGCAAGAGGAGACAGCAAAATGCAGCAATTTAACACTAGAGGCCAATATTCTGGACACACATACCCCTGGTTTCCAGTCTCCTCCCTAGCAGGGGACAGGAGAAGTATCACCTGCTTGTTGTCCAGGTATGAGCTGTTACAAGCATCACATTGGCTAACTGACCCCATTTGTAATTTCTTCTGTAAGAAAATTGAGTCCTTCCTGTGAACACCGTCATGGACTTACCAGAGCTCTTGCATTTGCTGAGATGAGCTCCCTCCCAGTTTGTGTCGATTTGAGACTGTCTTTAAACTGAAAGCTTACTAGTATGCACAGCATCACACTTCTGCTTACCATCTTTTATTAATGAGTCACCCCATTGTAATTCAGCCAGCCCATTATCTAGTACTGTACATAATGAAGAGAAATCTTAATGCCTTTTCTGCATAGTCACTGGTAGTTATGTTAAGGGAGCAATGCTTGCAACCAAAGAATTATAACCATATTGTGGTCAGACAAGTCCTTCTCCAGGAACAGAATTCCTCACTTTTCTTTTTCAGATTTGGCTTCTTTTCAGGCAGAAAGTACCTTTTTAGACCATTCAAACACTGAATTTTCTCAATATACTCCCCTTCCCCTCTCTTTTTTTTGGGGGGGGCTTGTGTCTTCTTTTCATAAGTATTTGGAAACATAACAATTGCAGCAACTTCTAGCAGTCTGTAAAGAGCTCTGTAAGTGTCAAATGCAGAATCTTTCACAGCCTGGGTTGTTATCTCTATTTATTATAAATATTTGTCATAGTCTGGTGGTCCTGTGAGCTTTGCTGTCTTACAAGATTTTTCCACTGAAGCCCTGACTCAATTGTTAAGACACTGTAGGTCCATAAAAGGGATGCCAATAAAGACTAAACCATATTTTATTTCATTTCCCTCAATCATCAAACTTTAGCTCTCTTGACATTTTCCTAGCCTGTCTATCAGGAAACAAAGAACATGTAGTTGAGCACCTCTGGAACTACAAGCAAGATTCAGGGATTACACCATACAAAACCATTTTTTGTCTGGTCTCCAAGGAGCAGTCTTCTTACTGGTAGCGTGACCTCTGCTTGGCTATGGACCTTCAAGAATATCTAGGGTCCTGCAGAGGTTTTTTATTGAAATGTCTCTGATTGTTTTAAGGACAATAAAAGGAATTAACTGTTAAAAAAGAGAGCATATAGGAATTTCACTAGCTGCCACAATTCATGTTAAAACCAGGAAGCACTAATAGGGGAGCCATTCTTGTATGCCAATGAAGCGCTCCTGCAGCGCAGCAGTGGGATGTCGCAGCATGTCCTTCCACCACACCGTCTGCCCGGTAGTACTCAGCTGCTGCTGCACACAGTCAAAACCTTGCTCGAGTCTGCTGCGTTGGAAGGAGAGGAGCTGTGCACCAGCAGCACCTCACCTTCAGGGGAAGGGAACTGCTGCTCTGCAGGGGGCAGAGCCTAGAAGGTCACCCTGCAGGAGGCAGCAGCTACCGCGGGGCTACTAGGGGCAGGAAAGTGGCTGTGGTGGATGAACCCAAGCATCCTCTTGCAGGAGGTGGCACTCTCACTGCTGGAATAGTTTGCTCACATACCCATGATAATTTACCCTTTATTTCAGGCAGTGCTAGGAAATACTAGGTTTTATGGCCAATAAAGAAACTATGAATCTTTCATAGGAAAAACCAACTCTTATGTATCCTATATAATTGCAAGATTTTATTTCTTTTGTGTGTGTATGTTTTTTTGAGTTCGTGTTGGTCTGAATAAAAGCCTCCAAATTGGCAGTCCTGAAGACAGAAAATTTCATATCCACAGACTAGCAGCTGCTCTGATACCAAGAGCCAATGGTATGATCATTAAGGAGTGTTTGTTGTCCCTGGATAACCCCTGGAGTTATCTTGGCTTGGCTATGGGAGCAGAGAGTCACACTGAAAACATGGAAAAAGCCAGAAAACTGAGAGTCATGAGAGATAAAAAACTACAGTGAAGATCACTCAAAGGGCTGAGAAGGACAAGTATCTGGGAAGGAGCTGTTGTTGACAAATGCAAGGCACTGGAAAAAGTAGAGTGGTTCAGGTTGTGGGACCAAACTCAGCACTATGAGAAATTGCCTTTTGGAGTCTCTTGTTTCTTAGCCCAGTATATAGATTTCTTGACATAATCTCTTTAGGATTTTTGGGTTTCATCTGTGTTTTGTAGGCCTAAAGATTTTGCCAAGGGTTGAATTCTTCTCTTACAGGCTTCAGAGATGCCTACTCATGACTTTTTTTTTTTCTCTTTTTTTTTTTTAAATCTGAAAATCCTTACCTCCCACATACTTAAGCCAAAAATATAAAGGCTGTACTGTCAGTTTTTAGCATTTCAAGAAGTCTTGAGTCCTGCTTTCATTAGCTTTAGTACTTTCAGTTCAATTCTGAAA